AAAGATATTCACTAACCCCACATCTGACAGAGGACTAATCTCCAAAATTTACAAAGAACTCAAGAAGCAAGTCTACAAAACACCAAAGGATCCAATTAAAACTTGGGGGACTGAACGAAATGGAGAATTCTCAATAGTGGAGCATAAAATGGCTGAGAAGCACTTGAAAAAGTGCTCAACATCATTATCCATTAGGGAAATGCAAATCAAAGCAACTCTGAGATATCAGCTTACTCCTGTCAGAATGGCTAAAATCAAAAACATCAATGACAGTTTGTGCTGGAGAGGATGTGTAGAGGGGAACACTCCTCCACTGCTGGTGGGAGTGCCAACTCGTACAGCCACTTTGGAAATCAGTATGGAGATTCCTCAGGAAAATGGGAGTCAGTCTACCACAAGACTCAGTAATTCCACTCTTAGGCATATACCCAAAAGATGCACCTTCATACAACAAGGATGTCTGTTCCACTATGTTCATAGCAGCATTATTTGTAATAGCTAGATCCTGGAAGCAACCTAGATGCCCCACAACTGAAGAGTGGATAGAGAAAATGTGGCACATTTACACAATGGAGTACTACTCAGTGGAGAAAAACAATGGAATCTTGAAATTTGCAAGCAAATGGATGGCACTAGAGGAAACCATCCTGAGTGAGGTAACCCAGTCACAAAAAGACAAACACTGTATGTACTCACTCATATATGGATTCTAGATATGGATCAGGGGAGTGTCAACCTACAATCCCAGTGCCAGTGAGTTTGGGAAACAAGGAGTTTCCCAAGAGAGATGCATGATACACCAGAGAAGTGGAATGAGGCAAGATCTCCTGAGCAGATTGGGACTTTGGGAGGAGGGGAGAGGGAACCAGGAAAAAGAGAGGGGGATAAGAGGAGGGAAGAAGAAGAAATGGAGGAGCAGGAAGATTGAGTTGAGGTAAGAATACAGGAGAGCAGGATGAGAGATACGATAATAGATGGAGTCATTATAGGCTTGAGGAAAGAGCTGACACTAGTGAGACCTCCAGAGATCTACAAGGATAACACCAACTGGCAAACTAAGAAATAGTGGAGAGACTACACTAATAGCCCCTCCTTGATGATAAGGTTGATGACTACCCTATATGTCATCCTAGAACCTTCAGTGACTGATGGAAGCAGAGACAGATACCCACAGCTAAACCCTGAACTGAACTCCTTGAACCTAGTGACAGAGATGGAGGAGTGATGAGCAAAGGGGTCAAGACCATGATGATGAAACCCACAAAGACAGCTGACTGGATAAGGGGGGAGCTCTTGAACCCCAGACTGATGGCTGAGGGGCCAACAGGGGACTGATCCAGACTCCATGAATGTAGTGCCAGGGAGGAGGCCACAGAAATCTCTGGGGCCTTGGGTAGTAGATCAGTGTTCACCATGGTGTATGAATGATCTTTGGGAGCTCATTCCAAATAGAGGGATGCTCTCTCAGCCTGGACACATGGGAAAGGGCCTAGGTCCTTTCCTGCATGAAATTATAGACTTTGGAGATCCCCCCAAGGAGGGCCTCACCCTCCCTGGGGAATGATGTGGGGATTGGGTGGGGGGCTGGGAGGGCTGATGGAGGGACAAGGAAGGAGGGGTGGGAGAGGGAGCTGGGATTGACATGTGAAGCATTCATGCTTCTAATTTAAATAAAAACGTATATTGAGGGGGGGAAAAGGCATGGAGAGACAGCCTAATTAACAAAAGAGGAATATTAAGCCCTTTCTGGGAATAGTCAGCGATCTTCCAGGAACTTGGACCACTTCCTTCCACTCCTTCATGATTTGGTGCTTCTGGTAATGTTGGCTGGTAGGTGTCCTTAGCCTTGATAAAAGAGCCAGTCCAGTCTAGGGAAAACTAGCACTGTGTTATAGTTCTGGATGAGATATTTATTCAATTGGAAAAGTACACATTTAGCTGTGAATACTGTGTGCTCTGTGCAAACGTGTACTCGTCTGTGTGAGTATATGGGATGATAGTGGATTTTTCATCAGACCGTTTTCTCCTCAGTAATGACTTATTATTAATTATGAAAGCTTGACTGGTAGCTTATGCCTGTTTCTAATTAGCTCTCATAGCTTAAATTAATCTATTTCCATTAATTTATGTGCTTTCATGTGGCTTGTGGTTTTACCTGTCCTCCAGTATTTCTTGCTTCCTCTGCATTTCCTGGCAACCCTGCCTTTCTTCCCAGCATTCTCTGTGTCTGGCTGTTCTGCCTATAGTCCTGCCTAGCTAGTGGCCATTTAGCTTTTTATTAAACCAATAGGAAGGTGCCTTGGCAAAGATACATTTTCACAATGTACAAAAAGATTATTCTACAACATGAGATGATCTCCATATGTATGATATGCACACATATACATGTATATTCATACATAGATGTGTGTGCAGGCATGTGTGTGCCTTTGTCTATGTATTGATACATGTATATAATATATCTGGTTACCTTTGCCTCCCAAGTGCATGCACCACCACTGCCCAGGTCCTTTTTCATTTATAATTTAACATATTTAGTGTTCAACACTTTAAAATATATGACTGCTCAATGAGAATATATAATGATTTTGTGACTCCTCAGGTGACAAGATACATGGGATTTGTTCATGTGAGTCTTCTGTCACCAACATGAATGAGTTTTCTGGGAAACTCAAGAAGAAAAACACCTTTTGCAAATGGAGTTCTTAATTGGTCTAAATAATAAAAACCCAGAGTCACATAAAGAGAAAAATGCTGAGAGATCAGAGAGAAGAAGGAGCAGGCCACAGCCACCTTTACCTCATTGGCTTCCCAGCGGAAAGACAGTGAGTTCCTGTTTCTTCCCGCTTATATCCTCTCTCTCTACCCAGCCATCTTACTTCCTGTTTCCACCCAGGCATCTCATTTCCTGTCTGACTATAAAGACCTCCTGACCTCTATAGTAGCTAGTTCTGCCCTCTTATCTTCAGACAAGCTTTATTTGTACAAGCAAGATATCACCACACCATTATCTCCTAGCCTCTGTCTAAATCCCTTAGTTTATTGGTGTGATGGTTAAGTTTAAATTACTGTGTTTAAGAGACCTATAAAACAAAACTGCCTCACAGGGCGTTAGTGACACACGCCTTTAATCCCCAGCACTCGGGAGGCAGAGGCAGGCAGATCTGTGAGTTTGAGGCCAGCCTGGTCTACAGAACGAGTTCCAGGACAGCTTCCAAAACAATACAGAGAAACCCTGTCTCGAAAAACCAAAAAAACAAAACAAAACAAAACAAAAACAAAAACAAAACTGCCTCTCACCTCACTTGCTCAAGGACAGGTAACTTCCTGGAATGCTGGGGACTGTTGTTCATGTAAGATAGCAAGTCACAAGTTTTCACTTCTGTAAGCAAGCTTGGCTGCCCCAATGACACCGGATGTGCAGGGAGTACGTGGGCAGGAAGTATGTCAGGACATATGCTTGCCTCTGATTGGACAAAGACGGGAGATGTGTACCCTTATGGTTTTTGTCTTTATAAGCCCCTGACTAATGTAATTCAGTGCCATATTCTAAGTGTGGGTCTTGGGTATCCATGGTCCTGGCCAGTATTTATAAAGTTTGCTTCAAATTTGGCTCAAAATTGTAGTAGTGGTTTTATTCTCACCTAGTGGGGTTTACATCTGGAGTGGAGAAGTTGGTGCATGAGCAAATCTCCATTCTTTGTAAAGCTTTCCATCTGCTGGGATTGCACACGCGCCACCACATCCAGCACTTTCTATTTCAGTGGTGTTGTACATGTGCCCTACCACTGAGCCACCCCACCCCCAGACCTTCATTGACTCTTCGTTTTCTCTCTATTATTATTGTATGGGCACATGAGAGCTAATGTGCGGGCCTGGCGGTGGGGTGCACACCAAGCTCTGCGGGTGTAAGTTAGAGAACAACTCTTTGGAGTCGGTTTTCCTTCCTCCTCAGGTTCTGGAATAATACTCCGGTTGTCAGGCCCCACCCCTAAAAGTGTTTTGCTCTGTTTTGTGACAGGGTCTCTCTATGTAACCGTGGCTGGCTTGGAACACCCTATGTAGACATGTAGACCGTTGTAATCCAGGCGAACCTCTCACCCCTCTGTGCACGTTCATACCCTGGCCCTTTAAGAGGAAAGCTCCGCCTACTCTCCTCTCTCTCTCTCTCTCTCTCTGTCTCTGTCTCTGTCTCTGTCTCTGTCTCTGTCTCTGTCTCTGTCTCTCTCTCTCTCTCTCTCTCTCTCTCTCTCTCTCTCTCTCTCTCTCTCTCTCTCTCCTCCCTCTCCCCTCCTTTCCTCTCCCCTTCCCCTTCCTCCCCTTTTTTCTCCATCTCTCTTTCTCCACCCCTCCCTCTCTCTGTCCCCCTCTGTCTTCCCTTATTTTCTTACCTCCCGGTCAATAAACTTTCCACATAAGCCAAGTCCGCAGGACACTTTTTCCAGTTCGCCCACGGGCGGTGCCACCACCCATCGCAGTCACCTTCTCCTAAACTCGCTCCATATTACTCCTAACACAGCCCAGAGTGACCTCGAACTCATAGAGATCCTCCTGCCTCTGCCCTGAGGCTGCTGAGATTAAATAAGTGTGCCACTACCCCCTTGCCCCGCCTCTAGATTTTTAAAAATTCGTTTATTCCCCACTTCAACTCTGAAAATACTTTCATTATCCTGTTTCAGTAGCGAAGAAACAGGCATATAACTTTTCTTTTTTTTCCTGGACAGGGTCTCCCGCAGACCAGGCTGGCCTAGAGCATGCTACATAGTCAAAAGCTTGATCATCGCGTCTCCACCGTCAGCCATGAGCAGCCACCACGCCCAGCTCAATATTCTGTGTCGGGGGTTGGGACCCTGTCATCCTAGGAGCTCATGCTACCGGGGCGAGCTGACCTCCGGCGACTCGCCGAGCACACCGCCAGCCATCTTCCTCGTAGTCCTCAGGAACCACAATTCCCGGCATGCCTCACGACCGCGGCCCTATAAACACAACAAATCCCGACGTGACTCTGGGCGGTCGGGAGTGGAGGGTTCTAGAAGGCGTGACGTGGGGGTCGAAGCGGGCTTGGAGGCGGGTTCTCGTGGGCGGCGGCGGCGGCGGCCGCCACTACGGGACCTGGAAATACACTAGCGACTGGGGTGGCGGACGCAGCCTTGTCTCGAAGGCCATGGCGGCGCTCGGCCGGCCCTTCAGCGGCCTCCCTCTGAGAGGCAGCGCGGACTTCCTGCAGCCGCCGCCGGCCTTCGCGGGCCGGGCCTTCCCGCCAGGAGCCGCCGGCCCTGACCTGGCCCCGCGGCCGGGCTCCCGCGTTGCGCCCAGCAGCCCGAGCGGGAGAACAGCGCGCGGACGGTGAGGAGCAGGTGGGGCGGGCCCGTTAACCCCGCGGGACGTTAACCGTGAGTCCCGGGTCTCAGGCCGGCGACCCACCGAGGGTCTTTCGGCCTGGCCGCTCCCTCAGGACGCGCGGCCGCCGGCCGGGACAACTTCGAGAGGCTCCGGGACCCTGCGGTTCCTCATTGGCAGTGTGGGGACAGAAATGGGTCCTGGAGCGAGTGCTCAACGGTCACTGCCCCGGACTGAAGTGACAACTTCAGATTTTCTTGTCTGCTTAAGTGACGTCCTCGGCACGACGTGACCTGATCTTGGGAGCTGCAGGTCTCTCACGGCCAGAGAAGGGATTTGCAGTTTGTGGCGGGAGATCCCGATAAGTAGAGCCAGAAGGACGGAATGCAGAAACCTTGGATTTCAAGTGCCTGTCTTGGCTGACTGATTTGTTTTGTTTGTTCCAACAGTGTTCCCATTCACTGTAGAAAGAAACACAAGCGATTGGCGGAGGATGATGAGTAAGTTTCGAGGACCATTTGCCCTCTGTGTGGTGGCTGTTAGTTTAACACGTGTGTCCTATTTTAAGTGGAAAAGGTAAAGCATATTGTATCTCTTTAAACTAGTGACATTGTTTGCCTGCTAGGGGCAGGAATTGGGTGTCAAGCAGGTAGAGGAAGTCTCACTCTGTAACCAATATAGTATTTGAATTTTAAACTATCATAGATAGAGTTTAAAACAAAACAAAAAATCAAAGGATGTATACTGGATAGGGTTTGTGTTCTTGTCAGAGGTAACCTTATAGCCTGTTTCTTACTTTTAGGAAAGTAGTTCAGAAACTTAAAGTTTATGGTCATGTGTGCTTCAGTCGCTTATGTCTGTAGCTAGCTACCTGTCCACACTGCACTGGGGGGGGATTGCTTCCTTTTACTCTCTCAAGGTCTACCTGTTGCTTTCTGTTTTGTTTTAAAAGACAGACTCACTATGTAACCCTGCCTAGTCAGGAACACATTATGTAGAGCAGACTGGCCTCAAACTTAGAGATCTGCTTGCCTCTGCCTGTTGAGATTAAATACAGCATGTCTCAATACCCGAGTTTTCCCCCCTTATTCATTATTACTGTGTATATGACCAGATGCCATGGTGGGTGTGTGGGAGTTAGAAGACGTTCAGAAGTTGGTTCTCTCGGATCACGTAGTCAGGATCAAGTTCAAGCTGTCAGTTTGGTGGTCAGCATCTTTACTCATCCAGTCATCTTGCTTTTTGTTTTTCCTGTTGGAAGGACCAAACCCTGGGCCTGGCAGATGCTTGACAACTGTTCTCCCATTGAGCTTCATTTATTTTAAGCCCTGTCCTGGATAGTTTTAACTGTGTGTATGATCCTACCCCTTCCCCTTTGTAGAAACTGAATTCTTTTCTGATAATGATGGCTCACTCCAGTAACTCCAGACCTGAGAGTCTGAGGCCAGCCCTGGCCTGTATGAAACAAAAGCCAATAGTCTCAGCTCTTGGAGGAAGGTGGAAGTAGGAAGATGGACATCCAAGGCCGTCTTCAGTAACAGTGCTGACTTGTGGCCAGCCTGGCATATATGAGATTAAAATAATTAAGAGAAACTTTGAATTGGCTAGGTTTGTTTATGCTTAGACTGACCAAAAAAAACAATGCTTGGAGGTTACCTTATTTTTTTCGAGTGAGTGAGTGAATGTAGGTAGACTCAGGGTAGGGGGATACAGAAGTCTTGGGTGTCATTTCTTAAGTATCATCCATCCTTTTTTTGTTTGTTTTGAGGCAAGGTCGCTGTGCTGTCAAGTATGTGGAGGCCAAAGGTCGACGTCCAGCATCTTGCTCAGTTGCTCTTCATGTTATATTTTGAGGCAGTGTATCTCACTTGAACCCAGAACTTGCATTTTGCTTGCACTGTAAATCCATCTCCTCCTGGGTCTGCCTGCCATTTACAAATAAACTCTTTTTCATGCTGACCAGCATGTGCTTTCATCCATTGAGTCATCTCCCTAGCTGCCCACCTAGTTTTTAAGGCAAGGTTCTCACTGGCTTGGAGCTCACCATGTCAGTTGAGTTGGGGGAGGGGGGCAAGCAGAACCCAGGGTATTGCCATTGCTGCCTTCTGGCGCTAGTATTATGAGTCATCAAGCTTGGCTCTTTTTATGTTGGTTCTGGGGATTGAACCCAGGCCCTCATACTTTCATGGCAAACCGAGCTGTTTTTCCCAGTTCAAAGAGTTTTCTTAATTAAAAGCCCCTAGATCATGGGAGTTGTTGCCTTAGGGTTGCTATAAAAAAAAACACACACAAGAACTTTTTTTTTTTTTTTTTTTTTGCCTTTTGTAGTGCTCTAGATTGTTGAATTGTTGATTCTAGTGTTTGCTTAAAATGTAGAAACAAAGCCAGGTGTGGTGGCACACACCTTTAATCCCAATGCCTGGGAGGCAGAGGCGGGCAGATCTCTTGTTCAAGGCCAGCCTGGTTTGCAGAGTGAGTTCCAGGAGAGCCAGGACTACACAGAGAAATCCTGGGAGGTGGGGGTAGGGTAGAAACTATTGATTTTAAAAGTTAACTACCTTTGATTTGTGAATGGAGAGATTGGGGCATTGACAGGGATAGCCTAGACCTTTGGATATATGCCCGGATGTGTACTGCTGAGCTTGCCACATTGTTCTCAGCATCTAGAAGCCTGTCTTTAAAATTTGTGTGTGCATTCACAAGTGTATGCTGATGCTTAGAACCCAGAAGGTGCTGGATTCCCTGGGGCTGGAGTTGCAGAGGGTTGTAAACCACCTGATGTGGGCACTGGGAATTGAACTTGGGTCTTGTAAGAGCTCTTAACTATTGAACCATCTCTCCAGCTCCTAGAAGCATTTTTAATTCACGGTTTTTTAGAGCTTAATTAACTATTGATATTCAGTTATAGCAAAGTAAGCCTACAGGCATAAAATAACCAAACAATCAAAGAACTATTTCATAGATGAATGTTAGATGCTCTGGGAAATTGCCTGTTCTCTCAGTTTATGGTTTTTCTTAGCTGGTGTTTCATAGGCGTGCACCAACATACCCAGCTTGAAGGAGTTTTGTTGTCGTCATCGTTGGTGGTGTTTGTTTTTGACAGAATTTGATGCATATCAGGCTGTCCTAGAACTGTATAGCTGACTCTGGCCCTAAACTCCAGATTCTCTTGCCTCCTAGATATTTTCTAGTACTTTCTTCTTTGGGGGCGGGGGCAGCTTTTTTGTTTCTTGAGACAGGGTTTCTCTGTGTATCCCTAGCTGTTCTGGAATTCATTTGTATACCAGGTTGTCCTCCCAACTCATAGAGATCCCCATGCCTATGCCTCCCAAGAGCTGGGATTAAAGGAGTGTGCCACCAATGCCTGGCTACTAGTACTTTCTAATGAGGTAAAATTTTAAATCAAACATAATGGATTATGATTTCTTTTAAATAAATACAGGCTTAATAGGGTAATATTGTCAAATTAAACATTCCAGAAACTTTAATAATTTATTTTCACAGTGTTAAGGTGGGTTAAAAATTTTCTCCTATAAACATATTTATTCATTTCCTTTGACCATCAGTTTAATTAATCTGAAGAAGAAATAATGAATGGGCATTTTGGTTATATGATCTAACCTTGGTGCTGCACACACTGCTGCTATTCAATAGAGAGCTTGTAGTCTAAATACTTGTTTAAAAAAATAAAAGGAAAGTGTATTGCTTTTAGCTAGCAGGGTACACATAGTGCTGATACAAGCTCATGGTAAGCAATTTAACAATTAACTTCCCCTCTAGATTTAGGGTAGAACTCAGGGTCTCTGGCTCCACTCAACATTCAACTTTACTGGGACACTTTGGAAAGGTCAGCTGATAGATTTCCACGTATCTCCAAAAGGAAGAAGCTAGCTGGGTTTGATGAATTCTAAGGTCTCTTAAGTACTTAGACATCTAGGAAGTAGATGGGGTATGTTACCCTAGAAGAAAGGGAGATCCCACCATTAGTCAGGGACAGATAGCCAAAGGGAAGAAATGTGTGCTAATGGCCTGTTCTTGTGGTGCTTGAAGCATGCGTTGGTAGATGGGTGTGTCTGCTGTAAGGAAATACAGGGTGACAACCAGACACTTTCTCATGTGGGTCAGGGAATGTGATACTGAAGCAAAAACAAAATGTAGTTGGGGCAGAACTGTGGCTTTGTCTTTTTAGTTATGGGAATGTTCTGCCTGTGTGTATGTCTGTACCAGCCAGGCCAGGACAGAGTGTAGAATTCCCTGAACTGGAACTACAGATCATTTATGGGTACTGGGACTTGAACCTGTATCTACTGGAAGAGCAGCCAGTGCTCTTGACTCTCAGCCACCTCTCCAGCAAACCCTCTTTTTATTGCTTTGCTTCCCGCTTGATCTTTCCTGCAGATTTTTTCCTTTAAAAGGTTAAAGTCTTGGAAGTGCTGCATAAATTGGTAAAAAATAGAAGAAAATTTCTCAGAGAAGCTATTGGGGGGGGGAAATACATGATATTCTAGCTGTAGAATAGAGATTTTTATATTTAATAATTTGATTTAAAAAGAGTAATAATAAATTGGGACTGGAGAGATAGCTCAGGACTTAAAAGCACTTGTTCTTGCAGAAGACCCTCAGAATGAATTCTAAGCACCCCCGTGGTCGCTCGCAGATGTCCATAACTCGAGTCCTAGGGGATCTGAGACCTCTTCTAACCTCATAGCCACACATGTGGCACACATACCTGCAGGCAGAACACCAAACATAAATAAACACATCTTTTTGAGGACTAAATAAATGTGAGCTGGGCATGGTAGCATGTATCCTTTTAATTGACTAGAGAAATGGCTTGAATTTCATCTGTAATAGTTTTTAATTATTTTTCTTCCCTCTATTCCTACCGCTTTCTGCCTTCTTCATCCTAGGTGTCCAATAAGAAAGAAGAGACTGACTGAAGCTGAATTCTGCTCAGTTGCTAATGAATGGGTTCTTGACACACACCAGGGTTTAGAAGGTCATGGAGTAAACTCGTGTCCTAGTGGTCTTTCTGTACCCAATATGCTAGATGCTATCTGTGAAGAAATGGATCAAACGACTGCAGAACCACAGTGTGAAATTGCCCGAAGGAGGCTTCAGGAGATTGAGGACAGGTACAGACAGTGTGTGTTGCAAGGCTTGCTGCTGCTTCTGTGTCACAGTTCTCTTAAGATGGTCAGGAGCATCATTTGGTGATTCTAGAGATCAAGAAATAAAAAATACATTTTCTTGTTTTTATTGAGCTATACATTTTTTTCCCACTCCCTGCCTCCCCTCTCAGTTTACTCAGGAGATCTTGTCTTTTCTCCCTTCCTAGGCAGATCCATGTATGTCTCTCCTAGGATCCTCTTTGTTTTTCTAGGTTCTCTGGGGTTGTGGACTGTAGACTGGTTATCCTTTGCTTTATGGCTAATACCACTTTCGAGTGAGTACATACCATGTTTGTCTTTCTGGGTCTGGGTTACAATGGGTTCCATTCATTTGCCTGCAAATTTCAAGATGTGATGGTTACTTACCACACTCCATTGTGTAAATGACCACGTTTTCTCTATCCATTCTCTAGTTGAAGGCCATCTAGGTTGTTTCCAGGTTCTGGCTATTACGAATAATGCTGCTATGAATGAACATAGTTGAGCAAATGGCCTTGGGGTGTGAGTGTGCATCCTTTGGGTATATGCCCAAAAATAGTATTGCTGAGTCTTAAGGTAGATTGATTCCCAATTTTCTGAGAAACCACCATACTGATTTCCAAGGTACTGTACAAGTTTGCACTTCCACCAACAATGGAGTATTCCCCTTAGTCCACATCCCCTTCAGCTTAAGCTGTCATCAGTGTTTTTGATCTTGACTATTTTGATAGGTCTACGATGGTATCTCAGAGTTGTTTTGATTTGCATTTCTCTGATGGCTAAGGATGTTAAGCAGTTCCTTAAATGTATTTCAGTCATTTGAGTTTCTTCTGTTGAGAATTCTATTTAGGTCTGTGCCCCATTTTTTAGTTAGATTATTTGATCTTTTGATGTGTAGTTTCTTGAGTTCTTTGTATAGTTTGGAGATCAATCCTGTGTCATATGTGGGGTTGGTGAAGATCTTTTCCCATTTGTAGGCTGCTGTTTTGACTCGTTGATAGTGTCCTTTGCTTTACAGAAGCTTCTCAGTTTCAGGATGTCCCATTTATTAATTGTTGATCTCAATGTCTGTGCTACTGGTGTTATATTTAGTTAGTGGTCTCTTGTGCCCATGCGTTCAAGGCTACGTCCCACTTCATGAGACTCAGTGTGGTTAGATTTATGTTGGTCTTTGATCCATTTGGCCTTGAGTTTTGTGCATGGTGATAGATATAGATTTATTTGCATTCTTCTGTGTGCTGACCTCCAGTTATGCCAACACCATTTGCTGAAGAGGCTTTCTTTTTTCCATTGTATAATTTTAGCTACTTTCTCAAAAATCAGGTGTTCCTAGGTATATGGGTTGATACAAGGTCTTTGATTCAATTCCATTGGTCCAAAACTAAGCTGTTTTCATTATTGTAGCTCTGTAATAGAGTTTGAAGTCAGGGATGGTGATGCCTCCAGAGTTCCTTATTGTACAAGATTGTTTTGCTATCAAGAGTCTTTTGTTTTCCAAATGAAGTTGAGTTTGTTCGTTTGAGGTTTGTGAAGAATTGTGGTAGAATTTTGATGGAGATTGCATTGAATCTGTGGATTGCTTTTTTAAAGATTGCTGTTTTTACTTTGTTGATCCTACCTATCCAAGAGCATGGGAGATCTTTCCATTTTCTGATGTCTTCTTTAATTTCTTTCTTTAGAGACTTGAAGTTCTTGTTATACAGGTCTTTCACTTGTTTGGTTAGAATTACTCCAAGATACTTTGTGTTATTTGTGGCTATTGTAAAGGGTAATGTTTCTCTGATATCCTTCTTATCCTGTTTGTCATCAGTATATAGCAGGGCTACTGTATCCTGCTAAATTTCTGAAGGTGTTTATCAGTTGTAGGAGTTCTCTAGTAGAATTTTTGGGTCGCTTATTTGTTAAGTATATGTATATCGAAAGTTTGATTTCTTTTTTTCCAATTTGTATCCCCTTGATCTCCTTTTGTTGTCTTACTGCTCTAGCCTGGAACTCTGAGTACAACATTGGACAGGGAGAGAGTGGACAGCATTATCTTGTTCCTGATTTCAGTGGAATCTCTTTGAGTGTCTCTTCATTAGTTTGATGTTGACTGTTGACTTGCTGTATATTACTTTTATTGTTTAGTTATGTTCTTTGTATCCCTGCTCTCTACAAGACCTTTGTCATAAAGGGGTATGGGAGTTTTTCAAAGGCTTTTTTATCATCTATGAGATGATCATTTGGTTTTTTTCTTTCACTTGTTTATATAGTGGATTACATTGATGGATTTTCGTATGTTGAACCATCCCTGCATCTCTGGGATGAAGCCTATTTGGTCATGGTGGATGATATTTTGATGTGTTCTTAATTCAGTTTGCCAGTATTTTCTTTCTTTTACATCTATGGACATGAGGGAGATTGGTTTTGTAATTCTCTCTTAGTTGTGTCTTTGTGTAGTTTAGGTATCAGGGTAACTGTAGCCTGGTAAAAAGAGTTTGGCAAGCCAGATGGTTGTGACTCACGCCTTTAATCCCAGCACTCATGAGGCAGAGACAGACAGATCTCTGTGAGTTCCAGGCCAACCTGGTCTACAAAGCTACACAGAGAAACCCTGTGAGGAAGGGGGGAAATATGGCAATGTTCCTTCTGTTTCTATTGTAGGGAACAATTCAAGGAGTGTTCCTATGAGTTCTTTGAAATTCTGTGCTGAAACCATATGGCCCTGGGCATTTTGTTTTTTGGTTTTTGTTGGGAGACTTTTGATGACTGTTTCTGTTTCTTTAGGGGTTATAGTATAGATCTATTTAAATTGTTTATCTGATCTTGATTTAATTTTGGTATGTGGTACTTATCCAAAAAATTGTCCATTTCCTTTAAGTTTTCCAAGTTTGTGGCGTACAGGTTTTTGAATCACCTGATGATTCTCTGGATTTCCTCTGTGTCTGTTGGTATGTCCCATTTTCATTTCCGGTTTTGTTTTTTTGTTGTTGTTTGTTTGTTTGTCTGCTTTTTGTATATTCTCTCTGCCTTTTGATTAGTTTGGTGGATAAAGCCTTGTCTGTCTTGTTGATTTTTCTTGAAGAACCAACTCTTTGTTTCATTGCGTCTTTGTATTGTTTTCTTTGTTTCTATTTGGTTGATTTCAGCTTTCAATTTATTTCCTTCCATCTACTTCTTTGTTGAGTTTGCTTCTTTTTCTAGAGCTTTGAGGTATTCTGTTAATTCCATAGTGTGGGAATTTTCTAGTTTCTTTATGTAGGCTTTAATGCTGTGAACCTTAGCACTGCTTTCATTGTGTCCCATAAGTTTAGATATGTTGTGTGGTCATTTTTATTGAATTTTAGGAAGTCTTTCCTTTTTATTTCTTCCATGGCCCAGTGGTGGTTTGGTTGAGCATTGTTCAGTTCCCATGAGTTTGTGAGTTTTCTGTGATTGGTGTTGTTGAATTCTAACTCTAAGCCGTGGTGATCTGATAAGATACAGGGGGTTTTTTCTTTTTCTTTTTCTTTTTCTTTTTTTTTTTTTCTGTTGAGGTTTGCTTTGTTACCAAGTATGTAGTTGATTTTAGAGAAGTGTCTATGGGGTGCTGAGAAGGTATATTCTATTGTGTTTGGGTCGAATGTTCTATAGATGTCTGTTAAGCCCACTTGAGTCAATAACATCTTTTACTTCCTTTATTTCTCTGTTTAGTTTCTGTCTAGGAGACCTGTCCAGTAGTGAGAATGTGGGACTTGATGCTTTAGTAATGTTTGTTTTACAAATGAGGATGCCCTTGTATTTAGGGCATGGATGTTCATAACTGAGACTTCACTTGATGGAGTTTTTCTGTGGCAATATGGAATGTCCTTCATCTCTTTTGACTAATTTTAGTTTGAACTGTGTTTTGCTAGCTATTAGGATAGATACAACAGCTTGTTTCTTAGGTCCATTTGGTTGGAAAATCTCCGAAACCTTTACTCTGAGGTAATATCTGTCTTTGAAGTTGAGATGTATTTCTTATATGCAGCAGAAGGATGGATTCTGTTTTAGTATCCAATCTGTTAGTCCAACATTTTATAGTCTGATTGAGTCCATTGGTATTAAGGGATATTAATGACAAGTGATTGCTAGTTCCTGTTATTTTTGTTGGTGGTGGTATTGAGTGTGTGTGTTTACCTTCTTTAGGATTTGCTGATGTGGGATTATCTGTTGCCTGTATTTTTGTGGGTATGGCTAACTTCTTTGGGTTGGAGTTTTCCTTCTAGTATTTTCTGTAGACTGGATTTGTGGGTGGGTATTGTTTAAATCTGGTTTTGTCACGGAATATCTTGTTTTTGCCATCTGGTGATTGATAGCTTTGCTGGGTATAATAGTCTGGGCTGGCATCCTTGGTTTCTTAGTGTCTGAATAATACCTGACTAGGACCTTCTGACTTTCGTTGTTTCCCTTGAGAAGTTGGGTGTAATTCTGATAGGTCTGCCTTTATATGTTACTTGGACTTTTTCCTTTGCAGCTCTTAATATTCTTTATTCTGTATGTGTTTTGATTATTTTATGTGGACAGGGAATTCTTTTCAGGGGAGGGGTTCTGTATGCCTCTTGTACTTTCTCTGGAATGTCCTTCTTCAGATTGGGAAAGTTTTCTTCTATGATTTTGTTGAATATATTTTCTGTGCCTTTGAACTGGACTTTTTCTCCTTCTATACCTATTATTCATAGGTTCAGTCTTTTCATGGTGTCCCAGATTTCCTGGATACTTTGTATTAAGAACTTATTGGATTTAACATTTTCTTTGACTGAAACCGCTATTGTATCTTGAATGCCTGGGATTCTCTCTTCCATCTCTTGTATTATGTTGTTTATGCTTGCATCTGTAGTTCCTGATCATTTACCTAAATTTTCAAGAGTTCCCTCAGTTTGTTTTTTGCCTCTATTTCAGTTTTTAAGTCTTGAACTGTTTCCTTCACCTGTTTGATTGTTTTTCCTTGGTTTTCTTTAATGGATTTGTTGATTTTTTTTCCCATTTTTTGTTTATCTTTTCCTCCACTTTAAGGTAATTTTTTATTTCATCTTTAATGGCCTCAACCTTCATAAACTTATTTTAAGGTCTTCTCTGTTGGGATGTTCAGATCTTGCTGTTGTAGAACCACTAGTGTTTGGTGGTGCCATGTTGCTCTTTATGTTGTTGAGTGTATTCTTACACTGGGTCTACCCATGTCTTCCTCCAGGGGGTCCCTCTTCCCCCAACTGGTAGAGTTGGGGGCTGTGGCTCCCTTGAACTCTCCTTCAGGTGTAGGCAGTGCAGAGACTCTGGCGATTGCTCCTCTGGGTGCAGGCAGGGCTGAGGTTCTGGTGGTGGGATAGTTTCTGGAGACCCCTGCTGTAGCACTGACACTGTCCGGGGGTGTGGTCCTGAAAATACTAAGTGGTAGAGGGAGTACTCATGGCTTAATTCAGCTAGCAATGTTAGGGTCAGCTCTCCAGGACAGTTTTCAAACTTATTCCAGATTTTTTCTGCTATATGAACTACTGATAACACTTCCCACTTGTGTGGGAAAATGTAGCTTTATGTGGTCACTTTTCTCTGAGGTATGTATACCTTACTTATCTTTCACTATAGCGCCTGTGACTTTATTCTTTGGATTTTAAATTTTGTTCATTTACTGCAAGAACACCAATACCTTAACTAATTCTTTTTCTTTTCTCTGCTTGTGCTTCATTATTTATTTAGGATAATTGACGAAGATGAAGAGGTTGAAAGTGACAGAAATGTTAGCCATCTCCCAAGTCTTGTCCTTTCTGACACAATGAAAACGGGTTTGAAGAGGGAATTCGATGAAGTCTTCACAAAGAAGATGATTGAGTCTATGTAAGTTATGGTGCATAACATTTCCCCTTAACTGTTCCAATATTTGGGAAAGGGTAGTGTCAAAAGTCCTCTTAAATTCTTACAGGAAGAACAGTAACCATATTTTGAAACCTCTGGTTTATCTGTTTCTCTAAGTTACTCAGACACAGCATGGAGACTAGGTAACGGAAAATGACATGTCAAATGGGAAACAATTGAAATAGTTATCCCAAAGCCTGAAAACCATAGCATAGCCTTTTGGGGCCATTTTGGAGTATTTAGTGTTTTGTTTGGGGAGTGGGAATGTTACTATGTAGCCTAGGCTAGGTGCAAATTCAGTCTTCCTGCTTCCACTTCCTTCACTCCTGATGATTTAAAGCAGAAGTTAAGCCAGGCATGGTGGCTTACACAGGCAATCCCAGCAACACTCGAGAGGCAGAGGTATTAGTTTCCAACCTGTCTGAGCTACCTATCGAGATTTTTGTCTCAATAGAAGGGGGAAAAATGACAAAAGATAGCATAGTTTTAAGATGAAAACAAGACAGAAAAAAAATAGGGACTAGGGAAGTGACTCATGGTGGAATGAAGTCCTGGGTTCCATCCTCAGCACCACAAAACGAGAAGCAGAAATACGCCCGTAGTTTAATGAGCGCAGTTAACTGTTTGTTACATCTTTAGAGTAGAAACAGCGGGTGAGAAAAGGGGCAGGCTTAGGGTAGGGAGTGGTGACTAAGGGGAGAGGCTGAGGGGGAAACAGGGTGGCAAACACAGGAGGCCTGCCAAGTGTGGAAGGTCTCCGTTCTCATTGTCTATGTGCAGAATAGCAGGCAGACTAAAGACATGGAAATACTGCCTGGGAAACCTAGACTCAATACTCACTGAGGCTAAGTTTAGTCTGAAAAGGACTCTTGGAACCCAGACCTCAATAGTGCTGGGCACAGGCGGAGTTCAGCTGCTGCTTGTGGGAGAGCCAGAAGGTTTTCAATTGGGCCCTAGCTTAAGTTTATAATTAACTACTCAAACCTGAGGGTGTGTAAATAGTGTAGCCACATGTATACAGGTCAGTTTGCCCTCCTGCTCAAAGTAGTGTCTGCTGCTCTTAGTAGTTTTCCAGACTAGGCCTTTGAGAATATTCTTCATTGTAATTTTTTTTTCTGTTTTATTTCTGGGTTCCAGAAGATTTTCCTAAATTCAGGGTAAGGATTTTTTTTTCTGTTTTGGAGATGAGATAGGTTCTCATGTAGCCCAGGCTGGTCTAGAACTTCTGACTCTCTTGCCTGCACATCCCAGGTGCTGGGTTAACAGGCACTACTCCCAGCGATGGATGGGAAAATGCATGACTATGCACACCTAACGTAATTGTTTTGGTTTAGCTGCAAAGCATTCTACTTCCTAACTGTGAAACAAGTCATCAGAAATGAGTATGCTGGTTCAGGGTTTCATTCTTATTTATAATTATTTAATATACAGTAGTCACCGACAGGGCTAGGGAAATGGTGTAGTACTAGAACAGTAACTCAGCTTACATGAGACTCAGTATCACAAATCAAAACAAAAAGCTGTAGTCGTGCAAATCTGTACATTAAAAAACGTGTCTGGGTGTATCATTATAGCTAGTGATGTGGCTCAGTGGGCCTTACATTGTGGCATTAAGTTAAATCTGGGGCCCTTCTTTGTTTTTGTTTTGTTGGTTTTGAAGGTCTCAAAACCCTGCTATCCTAGAACTCGATATGTAGACACGACCAGTTATGAGCTCACAGAGGTCTACCTGCCTCTATTTCCTGAGTTCTAGAATTAAAGGCACGTGCCATTACACCCCGCTCAGTGGCCCAGTTTTTGCTTGGATATTTGTTTTGCTGCTGTTCATGATTTAAAATATAAATAGGACTGGCGAGGCCACTAGGAAGTGAAGCACTTAGATGTGTGAGGGCCTGGCTCCACTCTCTAGCATATCAGAGAAAATAATTACATATGGAACTTTATGTACTTGAGGACCTGGGAATAATACTCACTTCCTAGAGGACGTGCTGCTCTTGCAGAGGACTGGAGTTTGATTCCTGACACACCCAATACCAGGTGGCTCCAGGGGAACTTAAGCTTCTGGCCTCCTTGGTCACCTACTGCACACATGTTCATATCCCCATTCAGACACAGACACACACATGCACATAATCTTTTTAAGTCCTGTTTGAATTCTCCTAAATATCTCCAGCTCTCTTTTAAAACAAAACATGAGTAGCTTCACGAATTTGTGTGTTCTTGTACAGGGACCATGCTAATCCATATCATTCCAAATTTAGTATACCTGCTGCTGAAGTGAACATTTATTGTTTTAATCAAGAGAATTTATATGATGAGAACTGATGAAAAACATCAAGATGAAAATAATAGTGGAAGTATACAGTAGCTGATGGGTAGAAATACAAAGGGACAGTAGATGGCACTTTGAGGGCCGCTGGGTCATAACTGGAAGGTGCTAAGCAGTGAGCAGCAGCTTGTTGTAGAGATTTGAATGTCCTCAAGTTTTTATAGGAGTCTGTATTTCACATCCCAGGAGCCGTCCTTCTATGGAACTTGTGCTCTGGAAACCTCTCCCTGAAATCCTTTCTGAGAAGCCAAAGCCATCATCTAACCCTAAGAACTACATGGGAGAGAGCCAAACGAAGCATACAGCTGCCATCACTGCCTTTCCACAGAGAACTGAAGTGTTACTGGAGCCTCGGCACACGGACACGCCACTTTACCATAGTCTGGACACAGCTGCTAGCACAGAGGAAGAGATGGAGCTCTAGAGACCAGCTCTGCGTCAGCTTGGCAAGTTATAGAAGGCTCCTGTGTTCAGTAATGAGCCTGCCTGTATAGTATAGGGACCTGAAAGTTTTATGAAACGGGTGTAATATCTCCACCTGTGATTTAGGGTGGGACTGTCATTGTGGGTAGCCATTTATCGAATTCAACTTTTTGCCAAGGAAGCTTATCTCAAGGGAAATACAGTTTTCTATCAGGCTTATCCAAGAAATGTTACAGTCTCTTTAAAGACAACCATAGACGCTGGATGTGTTATGGTGACTGAAATCGTCTGTCACATTGTTGAAGCCATTCATTCTTACGATGCTTATAAAGAGGAATGCTCCTAATTGCCACTGCACCCTGACAGCTGAGTCATGTGTTGAGCTTCTTGTAGTGGTGACTGTACGCATGGGGAGCGGGAGGGAGGGAAAAAAGCAGTAGTTTGAGTCTCTTGCGAAGGAATTAAAGAGGCAATGAAACGTGCTGGCATCATCAGGTCCGGGTAGCCATTATTACTCAAGCAGTAGCTCTTGGTCTGCTTTAATGACTGATAAGCTCAGTTGGTCAGTGATGTTTACACCTCAGTTAACTATAAGTAATTGATTAAAAGAGTGTGAGGTAACCCTTATAAATTGCCTGAGAGAGAGGTGTCTCTTCATGAATCCTGGGGACATGCAGTGTCAGCTAAATCCGGCATTATTCATAGCTTCTAAAGTTTAAAAAGGGAAGGTTGTACTTGCATCCACAAGTTGAGTTTTTTAATGTTGGTTTTGAAAACAGTGAATTAGCTGAGAATAAATATCTTGGAGATTTACTGAAATAGCTCATTGTGCAGTGCTTAAGCTATTGTATAGTAAGCCTAAAAGTTAATGGAAGATGGCCTCCTACCAGCAGGAAATGTTCACCCTGTGAGTACTAGAACCAGGCTCAAGGTGTTCTTGGGAAAAACCAGGGTAAAAGTTTTTAATTTCTCAGGAAGAGCTCTTCAGCATGGCAGGGTATGTAATGAAGGCTTGGCAACTCCTTCAGCGCTGTAGAGCAGTCTGTGTGAGATAGCTCTTCCACAGCAGAGCACCTCAGTTCAGTTGTCACTTTCTGGGTCTTCTCCCGTTGTAGTGGAAAAAGAGAAAAAGTTCGCGCCAAGTAGAGGGGAATTTTTAGAAACTAGCTTCCAGGCATTTTTGCAGCCCATGCTGAAATCCCTCCCGTGATGGCATCGGAGTACTGGTCTGTACAGTGGACTGTCTCCTCTTGCCTATCGTTCTTGCTCTCTCTGTTTCTGTCTGGATGTCAGGAAAAAGTTTAATGTTTAATATTTAAACAAAATGGTTATGTCTACACAATAAAATTACTCAAGCTTCAAACTAGTATTGAAACCAGTTGGAAACCAGCTTATTGTTTCTTCATCTCAGACTCAGAGGTGAAAGAAAACTGTCTTCTGTTGAAATGTACAAGTGTTTAACTCATGTCGTTTGAAAACTCCTGACTTGTTTAATGAGACCAACTAGTAAAGTTTATAGCCTTAAAGAATTCTCTGTGCCAAGGAGTTTTAATACAGTGTAGAAGCATACGAGGACTGCCCAGAGTTTGGGGTTAGCCAGTGTGAGAATGGGAGGAAGTGGCAGCTTTCCAAAGTGCATAGAACACCAGGACTGCCTCTTACCAAAGGCCTCAAATGATGCTGATGCATTTGGTAACCACTGGAGAGAAGAGGTGGCTTTTAATGAAGAACAGAGCTTTTCAGGAGTCCTTATCTGACATGACCTTTATTTCTGCAGGAAAATGATGTTTCATGCTCCTTTTTGGACTTATCTTCTTGCACATATTTGTACAAAAGTCATCCCTCTTCATCCTTGTGGTGCTGACTCATCTGACTCTCCACAGCCCTGATGCCTCTGCAGTCTGTTTTCTTTTCTAGCATAAGCCTTTTGCTTTGCCTTAAGGTTTTCCTAAAGGTTTAACAGGTCTTTCCGTCTTGTGTAGTTTTTGAAGCATGGATCAGACATTGGCTCAGTATGTTAATGTGTGAAGGTCAGCAATTCTCTAAAGCAGGTGAGCTTCAATGAACAAATGTGTTTCTCTGAGTTTGAGTTGGGTGTATGTATGGGGAGGTTTGTTTGGGGGGGCATTCTTGGTTGGGTTTTTTGTTTTTTGTTCTTAATATGAAGAATCCAGTTCTCATAATTTAAATCAGTTAAACACTGCTCATTCTTGAAAAGATAAAAATGTAAAATGTAGAAACAAGTAGGACAGGACTTAGAATAACTTCAGGGGGAACATTAACTAGCAGGTCCATAGTGACAAGAATGGTACAGAACTAAGAACATTCTGGAAGATGGTGTCAATTTTACTTTAAAAATGAGAATCTGTTTTTTCTGTGTTTTATTATCTCCAATAAAAGTCAAGTGTTTTCAACTGTTTAAAGTATCCTGTACATATGGAAATGAAATAGATTTTTTTCTTGCTTTCCTTTAAATTTTAATTAAGGCAGCATTCATATCATTGAAAAACTTTACATTTGTCCTGAAATTTGAAAAGTGAGCTGTTTCTAATAGACAAGTTGTTTTGCCTTTCTAAATGTGCCAACAGCTTGCTTCCGCCTGAGTGGGTTTCTTCTGGGGACCATCTGATGCTGCCCCTGTGACTGATCCTTCAGTGTTTATATGTGGAGTTGGAGGGGCTTGGACACTTTAGAGAGAAATTAGGCAAAGTCTTATGATGTTGGTGCATGTTGTTCTTTTGCTAAGAGCTGACAGGTCACTAGGTGGCAGTATTGCCTGCATATTTGCAATATTTTTTGCTAGCCACATCTCTGACTGGTGAGGCTATTTTATTTTACCAAATTTTGAAAACCATGGTAAAAGTTACCTAACATAACAGGTTGGAAATAAAGATTAGAATAGATGGTGACACTTCGTTATCTAACCAGCTCATTGGAACCAGGGTTTGAGTACAAGGTGAATAGATACTCAAGGAAATGTAAGTTTGTGTGTATTGGTTTAGTTCTCTGTTAGTCCCCTAGTTCCTCAGACTACCAGTAGTATTTTAGGAATGCATTTTGAACAATGCTGAAACTCAAACTCCTGCAAGATGCTGCTGGTGTTGACTTTTCAGCACTGGTTTGGTGGGTAAGCCAGTCATCCTACTTCATGAATGACAGAAGTCAAGAGGGTTGCTAGGGAAGGGAGAGTCGTTTCTTCAGTGGTGTAGCCACTGGTAAGTTGCCCATGCTACAGTAAACCACTACCCACCCATGTTCATACAAGCAACCTTAATTAAACTCAGTGGGACACATCCATACAAGATAGAAGGGGGGCATTATTGGAAAGAGAGGGTTCAATGGGAGGGAGATGAAGATAATGGGTTGAATATGACTAAAACACATAACTAGAAGATTGTCAAAGAACAAAAAAATTTAGGTCAGAAGGGTAAAACATGTAATCCCAGCATTTGGGGAGGTGGATGAAGGAAGATTCCTAAGTTCAGAATCATTGTGTGCTCCATATTGAGTTTGAGCTCAACCTGGGATGCATGAGAACCTGTCTCAAACAAACAGGGTCTGGAGGGGATGGGTCAGTCAGTAAGATTGCAAGCAGGACGACCTGAGTTCAGATCCCTAACCCTCATTTTAAAGAGGTGGGAGTGCATATCTGTCTCCCCAGCACTTGAGAAGGCAGGCAGATGTAGGAGGATCCCTGGGGCTTGTTGGTCAATCAGTCTACCTGAATTTGTGAGCTCCAGGTTCAGTTTGAGATCGTGTCTCAAAAAGTAAGGTGGATACTGATTGCACCAGACACCTGATGTTGACCTCTGGCCCAACATAGGAATGTACACCTATACTTGAACATGTATTCAAAATACAGATACTTCTAAAGTCACAAGAGTAAAGATTGAGTTTAAGTTTCTAGGAGACCGAAATGGAACTGATACTTGAAATACTCCTGACGTAGGCCATGTGTCTATTGTTTAGCTCCATCTCATCTAATAGAAAAGCAAGGAGGCAGATGCATAGCTGTTTTGTGAGGCCCAGGAATTTTGCCTGAAGCCATGGCTTGCACCTTTGTTCTGAACTTCAGCATAGCACCACATTTAATAAGTATTTGGTTTCATAGAATGTTAATTTTTAGATCTAGCCAGTTTGGTGTTTCAATATGAAAGTGTCCTTGAAAACCAGGTGTTTTCTCAAAGCTGATGATGTTGTTTTTGGCTGGCTGTGGAGGAAATGAAACTCTGAAATCTTTATTCTGTTCTGTGCTATTGGCACAACAGCAACTTCTTCGATGTGATACTATTAAATATAAATGACTTGAGTCTCTACAAATACTTTGCTCTTCTGGATGGAGGCAAGCATATCTGCCTGTATAAACCTTTAGTGTCTTGGTCCTCCAGACCAAGGTGAGATAGTTTTCAGTCACAGGACAACTGTAGGTAGTCCTATGTTCACAGCACTGGCACTTAGCCTAAGCAACCTGGATCGTGCTGTGACAGACTTACTAGGTGGGCCCTATCCAGATTTGCCCTCAAGTCATAGCAGTCAACACATGATCTGTATTTGTCCTGCAACTGTAGTCTGGTTGAGCCTGCTGACTGGACTCACAGTTCTTCCTTCTGTTTGTGGGTTTACTTTGATCACCCCAAAGTAATCTTAGTAGGGAAGACAAATGTTAAATGGGGGGGGGTGAAATGAGTTCATCTGCTTATATGGGTAAAATGAAGTTCTTTTGCCATCTTTTAAGATTCCCCAGACCAGAATGCACAGTAAAGGATGAGGTCATGGTCTCTGGAGGTTGGTAGTTGGTTTATACCCCTAGGCCTTTTCTTCCTGAATAGATTTGCTCATTTGTTTTGTGCTAGGGATGGAACCAAGGCCTTATGCTGCTAGAAAAGCACTATACTGAGCCCAGCCTTGTGAATGAATACCCCTATCCTAAGATGCCATGAGGGAGTAAAACCTTTCAAAGTGGATCATGAGACAAAGCTGAACTTCCAGTGCATAGGATGACACCTGTCAGATGTGAAGTGCATGTAACTGAAGTCTTGTTCTTAGAGATACCACTGTCCCTCTTTCAAAGGTGGGATTGATTGCGTGTCCCCCGGGTTACTCAGGTGAAATGTGTCAAGAGTTGAAACCAGGGAGTCTGGGACTCCCTGATCAGGACAGATTTTGTTATCGGATGGCAAAGCAGTAGTTAAGGAGACCCAGCTGTAGCTCAATGGTGTAACACTTGTCCAGCATGTAGAGATCTTAGGTTTAATAACCCAGTACTGCCCGCCCCCCTACCACCACTACCAAAAAAGATGGTGATTAGGGTTCTACCTCTCTCACTTGGTAGCTGTGATATTTATCAACTGGCCTGAAGAAATCGTCTCAAAATAAGATGGAGGCACTTATGACAGCAGTTGGAGCAGGTAGTAATCAAAGTGTAAAGGCTTTCAGTGACTTTAAAAACTGCTGTGCCCCAAGTGGTGGTGCACACCTTTAATCCCAGCACTCAGGAGGCAGAGGCAGGTGGATCTCTGAGTTCCAGGACAGCCTGGTCTACAGAGCTACACAGAGAAACCCTGTCTCGAAAAACAAAAAATTAAATAAAAATTAAAAGTGCTGTGCTCACTTTAGTTGGATAAATGACTCTCTCTTAGCAAACAGTGAAGAGAAAATACAGTAGCGCTAGAAATCACAGAACAAGGCTGCTGCATTGCTTTTTTAATTGCATGGGTAGTTTTAAATAAATGGAGAAAGCACCTTCCAGAAGTTACACTAGCAAGAAGATTCCATCAAGCATTTACATAGTAAATTTCTATAATTTACAAAGATTCTTGATCTTCACTCGTACTGTACATAAGGATAAACAAGCCCCATCAGGTTGGGGTTTATGCTTGTAGAAGTAAACTAAACCCTGGGAAGCTGAGAGGCGGGAAAGAGAAACTATCAAAGGCCATTCATAAACCCCATGTCCACTTTAGGACATGTCAAGAGGCAGGTGTGGAAGTGCACACCTGTGTAAGCCAGCACTTGGGAGATAGAGACAGGAGGGTCAAGAGTTCCAGCCTAGCCTCACCTACATAGTTTAAAGCCAACCTGGGAAATAACTGTCAAATGACCCTCCTTGTATTGTGGGGCAAACTCTACCACCTTTAAGTTAAAACAATCTCAAAAGCTGTAGTCCTGAATTCCATTATTTTTGAATACCTTAGATGGCTGGATGTGAAAAGACAATACTTGGAAGTCAGATATGAGGTTTAAAAGAATACTTTAAAGGAATCTTTCTCTGCTATCCTCTAGGCAGTATAATGGTCAAGGAAAGGGCCCGGTGTGGGGTGGCTCTTTAGACACTAATTAGCTGGGGAAAGAGTTCATTGGCAAAAGTGTCCTCCCAAGAATGGTCTATACCGAGTGGAGAAGACATGTCGCTGAAGGGAGAAGGGGAGCCCTCGTATCCACAGTCACTATAAGCATCCAGCAGGCAGGAAGATGGTTTCAGACAGTGGCTGGATGGAAGCAGGTTTGAGATGCTTGGCTCTGGAATGAAGTCTTCTTCCAAAGGTTCTTTCTTCACTGAGACAATGAATTCAGGGTGATCCTCCTCTGAAGAGCTGAGAGGTGCTTCCTCAATTTTCACTACCACGTTAGTTTGGCCCTCTGTCTCAGAAGGGATCTCTAAGACTAGAGGCTTGGTGTATACATGGTCAAAGCGAATGAGTTCATTAATGGCTTCCAGCTTGGCTGATGAGGTCCCCACTGACAGAGAAAGGGAGGCTGGTAAGGAACTAGGTCCTGGATAGACCTCTGGGAGCTCCTCCAGATCGGCAGATTCTGGGGATGGACATTTGAAAAACATGACAGGGTCCAACTTGTCCAGAATGCCCAAAAGGATATCAGACTGCAAGAGAAAAAACAAAAAGTTCACTATTAGAATGAGTGTGATGGTCTACCAGGAACACTTAGTGCTGAGTTCCACAGTGTCCATTAGGCCTTATGCTCTCAGATAGAAGGACCCACCCATCAGAACAGCTTCTCCCCACTCCATGACCTAAACCCACCCCTAACCCTACCAATACAAACTTCTCTTTCTCCATTTGCCGGACTAGGCATGTCACATATCATATACTACAGAATGAGCCAATCTTACACAGACAGAACAAGCTCTACCTCGGAGTCTGAAGAGTCAACAGTGTCAGAATCCATGGGAAGATGTTCTGGGGAGGTGACAACTGGGCCTGCACCTGCTGCAGAGGTGCACGTAGTCTGAGTGCTGCGGACTCAGCAGACCCGGCCACCGGCCTTACTCCATTTCCCTGGAAGGAAAGACCAAAGTGAGGCAACAGCAAAAGTCTCCAAGGAAATGCACACCAGGCTATGGGAGGTGGCTCAGAGCATAAGCCTGCCAGATATGCAAGCATCAATGTAAATGTGATGCATGACGTGTCTGTATAACCCCAACACTGAGGGAGGCAGAGACGAGGACCACCAGGGTTTGCTGGCCACCAGCCTAGCTCCAGATTCAGTGAGATACTCTGCTTCAAAGGAATAAGGTAGAGAGTGACAGGGCAAGACGTCCAACATCTTCCTTTCACCTCTGTACACTTTGCGTAGGTGTGCACAAACCACACTCATGTAGACAGACACCTTGCCTACATAACTACATCAAATAAAGTAGTATATGCCTGTATCTTAACACTTGGCAAGTGGAGACAGAGGATTATCAGCTACATACCAAGCTTGAGACCAACCCAGGCTATATGAGGCCTAACAAAAAGAAAAGGAAAAAGAAAAAGGTCCAGGAAACACTTGTAGTGCCTATAATCCCAGCACCCGGGAGGCTATGGCAAGAGATAATGAGTTCAAGGTCAACCTTGGTTACATACAGAGACTTTGTCTCAAAACAAGACCAAAAGCCCACCAAATGTGACTAGCCCTTGCAGTCTCCTCCTGATTTGATGCCTGCATGGTACAGCTTGGTGGCTATTGGTGTTTGTTAGCACTTGTTCTGAGAGCCATGTAAATTACTTGGATCATTAGGGCTTAGTAGCACTGTTACACACGAAGAATGAGTGTCACTGAAGGATGAACATGCTGCCTGTTAGAAATGTGGAGAAAAGGGAGATTTTCAAGACTGTTCAGCTAGGCATGGTGGCACATGTCTGCAGAGGCAGGAAAACTGATGCATGTTAAGACCATCCAAAATTAAGAGGTTAAGACCCTGTCTCAAAAAAGAAGGAAAAGAGAAAAGGAAGACTTGATCAGGAACACAAATACAATCCGTTCATGTCACAACCAGGCCTCACAAAATTTACCTTGGACTCTGTCTCTGGAGCCTCTTCAGTAGCCAGCACATCCATTCCCAAGCGAGTTCTTAACTCCTGGTTCTCAATCACAAGGCCATGAGTCTTCTCTCGTAAAAGCTGATTTTCTAACATCAGTTTTTGGTTCTGTAAGAAAGTCCAGGAGAGGTTATTAAAACGTGGTTTGTTACAGTTGGTTTCCTCATTGGACTGATAAGTTCTGTGCATATGCAGCTGTTCATAACCACTGTGCTTCTGGTGGCATAGTATAGATCAGTTGGTAGCGTCCTTGCCCTACTATACATGAAGCCTGCGTTCAGCCTCCAGCTCTGCATAAAACTAACATGGGTGAAGATAGCAGGAGGAGGAGCAGAAATCCAGGGACATCCTTGGCTACACAGCAAGTTAGAGCCCAGCCTGGGACATTGGTGCCCCCCAACAGATGATCAACACAGCAGATGCAATTTGTGGTACATATGTACAGTAGAATGTTACTCATCTTAAAAAAACAAAAGTTGGCAGGAAAAATCTGTAGATTTGTTAAATATTTTAAGTGAAGTGGCCCAAACACAGAACCAAGAGTTCTTACTGGGTGTGAAAGTGTGTATACATATAAATGGATGTAAATGTGTGTAAGGTCTAAAAAAAAAAAACTGGAAGTCTAAGAGAATGCTGGGATGGAGGCCACGTGCCCTGGAAGCAAAAGGATACGGGGTTCGAGAGCTGTGGGGGTGGCAGGAAAGAACAGTCAGCTAAAACAAGCTGTTTGAAAATGCTCTAATGCTCTGTGCTGAGTATACAACAGTGGGGGGGGTCTAACTAACAAAATAGCGGGGTTGTTTTAACTGCTACTGATAGGACCCACATTTCTTCTAAGAACCAGCTGATGAGTAAAACAACAGTAGCCCTTTCTCAGATCAGATAACAAGAGAATGCTAGAAGGAAGGGCAATTCTAGTGAGCCTTTGGCAGAGCCAGGAGTGCTGAAGGTTAAGCCATGACCTATCTGCCCTGGCTAATCTCTGAGCAACTTCTGTCGATAGGATCTAGCTGTCAGGAGTGAGTCACCACCGCCTATCTGCTAGGCTAGTTAAACTTTAAATGGCACTTTGAGTTGTATTCGAAAGGGCTGCAGCAGCTTAGGGCGGGCCGGGAAGAAAGCATGGCCTGAAGTCCCTTTACCTCTTCTTCCAAATCCACCACTTGCTGTTCCAGCTCGCTCATCCGGGCTTTCTTCCGATCTCGGGCAGTCTGCGCTGCTACTCTGTTTTTCAGTTTCCTAAAGGAAGATAGGAACATAACGAACCGAGTCATATCCAGCTTTTCTCTATCTTCATTTGTAAATGTGGCCAGCTGGTGCTTTCGTTGACTTTCCAGAATAAGGCTAAACAGTGGTAAATACATTCTGAGGCTCCTCCTCTCAAAAAGACAAAAACCACAGCTTTTCTGCCCGTGGGCCTTGAAGGCCTGCTAGATTCTCTCCCGTGTGGCTGTCCGCTCAGGTCTCATTTCACCACCGGGCTGACACACATTCCCGTTGCGTCATGAGCATCCTCCCTCCTCCCCCGCGGCTTTCTGGTTCCGATTCTGTCCAACAGGCTCCGCGAAGGCCGCGGGCGCGCTACCAACCGTCCCTCCCCAAGCTCAACTCGGGCTGCTGGAGGCTGGTGACTCGGGTCCCAGTGGTGAGTTCCCAAGCGGCTGCAATGACAGCCAGAGCGGACCCTGCCCCGGGACCTCCAAGGAGAGCAAGCATTCACAGAGGACTGAGCGTCAGGCACCGTCTGACCAGTGTTAGCCTCCCCGACACAGACTGAGCAGACCTTCGGAGCGGCTCCGCCTCAGCTCCATCCGTGCCTCCCTCCAGAAAGGTACTAGAGGCGGTCTACGCCACCCCACAGAGCCCTCCCGACCGCCACGAGAAAGGGGCCCACCTCCGCAGCGCCTTCTCCTCCGGGCTCAGGTGCGTGAGGCGCTGCCGCTTGCGAGCCTGCGGCGCCCCGCTCGCCTCGGCCCCTGCTGCCCGCGAGCCTGGAACCATGAGTGGCAGCGCCCGGCCGTCCGCGGCGGGCTGGCCCGATAGAAGCAGTACTTTCGGGGCCGCGGCGGCCGCGTTCGGCGTCGCTGCCACCACCACCATGGCCAGGAAACGTCTACGCCAGCGCCGCCACCGCCCCGCGGCCGCTCGCCGCGCCCAGCCTTTCTAGGGTCGTGGCCGTCTGCGATAGGCCCGCTCCGCGTGACGAACGGCTATTCTCAGCGCCTATTGGTCCTGCGGGCCAGGGGGCGGGCCCAGTGCGGGCGGGGCGGGTGTCCAGCGTGGCTGCGCAGCTGTCCTCCGCCCGGGGAGCTGGGCCTGAGGGCGAGTGGACAGCAAAGGCCGGGTTGGGAGAGGCCTGGGTCCTCCGCAAACGCGTTCCCACCCCTGACGCTGGGAATGCCAGGCATTTCTCGCTGGCCAGATTTCCAGACTGAGTCTCACAGGTCTTTACCCCAGCCTGACCACATTAAGTCCGGCGCCACGTCGGCCCCCAGAGCAGCGGAAAATCGAACGGTGGCATATCCGGCTTGGAGTTAGCGGGGACACACACACACACACACACACACACACACACACACACACACACACACACACACACACACACACACACACACTGGGGAAATTTTGCAAGATGAGAGATAATTTCAAAACTAAATGTAGTCGGGCATGATGATGTGTAGTCTTAGCTCTTTGTTTCCAGTTTGAGAACAGCCTGGGCTACATAGGGAGGTCTAGGCTAGCCGGAGCTATTAAAGAAAAGAAAAGAAAAGAAAAGATAACTTTAAAAGAAAACACCAGAACACTGTTTAGCACATAGTAAGGGGTTGATAAATAATGTCTGCACAGTGGGAATACGTGTGGTTTCGTTTTTGTGTCTATCTAAACTCCCTGGTATGAGCTTATATCACCATCGTTTTCTTTGTTTTGCTGTGCTAGAGCCTGAGCCCAGAACCTAGGGTTCAACACTCAACTATTCCTTCAGCCCGCTTTGTCTGTGAAATTAGAGACACCACTGAACTGTGTGCCCAGCCTTGACACTATTAGTATTTCTTTCGTTGGAGAGTGAGGGGACAGAGGTTGCAGGGGGTGTTAGGTGTCCTCCATTGCTCCAGCCTTATTCTCTCTAGATGGTGTTGCCCACTGTGCTTGAAGCTTGTCCCGGGGGCTATGCTGGCTGGCCGCCAAGCCTCCATGATCTGCCTGTCTTTGCTCTCCAACACTGGCGTTACAAGCTGGCTCGGCCATGCCAGACTTTTCACCTGGGTGCTGGGATTCGAATCCTCAGCCTTCATGTTTGTGCGGCGTTCTTACCACAGAGCCATCTGTCCAGTCCCTACATGAGTGTCAGCTTTTATGAGTGGAAAATAAAATGTTCTGTATCCCTTGACCTGTGGTAAAGTCAATCAGATGGCTAGAACTTTTTTCTTTCTTTTCTTTCTTTCTTCTTCCTTCCTTTTTTTTTTCTTCACTTTTAGACCGGTAGTGTCACTCAAGCCAGGTGCTATAACTTAAGGAGGACAGCCAGGTTCTTGTGGAAGAGGAGCTACCAGGCAGCAGCAAGAGAGGATTCAGACTCAAGATATTAAACAGTAGAAACTAGAGACAACCCACAGATGCATCTCATTTTCTGGAAGCAACGACAAGTGTTAAGTTCCCTGGATCACAAAACAAAACCTTGTCAAGTAGACACTACTTTCTGCTTGGTGCCTGGCATGTCTCTGGTTCTATGGGTGCAAAGGTGAGGAAAATTGGTAGCCAACAACCAGAAAGTGAGCCAAACCTCAAAGAGTCCTAAGGAAAGGCTCAGGGTTGTGAAGTCAGATTAGCTCTTCCAAACAACATACTCCTCCAGGGAGAAGTAAAAGCTAGGGCTCTTTCACCCACCCTTTAAAACATTGGCTCCCAACCTTCCTAACGACACTACCCTATAATACAGTTCCTCATGTTGTGACCCCAGCCATAAAATTATTTCATTGCTACTTCATAACTGCAATTTTGCTATTGTTATGAATCATAATGTAAATAGCTAATAGTCAACCCTTGTGAAAGGGTCGCTTGACCACACACACACACACACACACACACACACACACACACACACACACACGTCACGGCCCACAGATTGAGAAGCAAGGCTGTAAAGAGACACAGTGTTTGTTATTCCCTGAAATGGGCTGTGAGTCCCTTTTCTCTGTCCATGCTGATGAGGGGAAACCAGTAACTGTTCCTTTAAGCAGGCAGGTCCAGCTCGGGGTGTGCACAACTGTTGCTGTGGGTTTATAGAGCCCTTCTGAAGCATGAGAAACCTGAATCTCTTGAGCTGTGAGCTGCTGGGTCCTAAAGAGCCTCTAGTGGCTGGAGGCTCACTGCTGCCTATGGAAGAACCTTGGGAGCTCTCTTGGTAGAAATCCGAGAAAGGACCTGGTAAATCTGAGAGAGGCTCTGAGGAAAGTTGTGTAACTATGACACACACTTTTGTATTTATTAGGATTTATAAAAGAATGTCTGGTACTGGGCTAGAAATCCCAGAGGAACATTGAAACTCAAAGCATTGGGAGTTAAAGAGATGACTTCGTCCGGCAAGGTACGTGATCCTGAAATCTGAGCTGATCCCTGGAAGCCCATAAAGGTGGAAGGAGAGAAGCAATTCTACAAAGTTGGCCTCCAACACACAAGCTGTCATATACATGCCTGGTCACAACATGTGTCCAACACACAAGCTGTCACATACATGCCTGGTCACATCATGTGTCCAACACACAAGCTGTCACATACATGCCTGGTCACATCATGTGTCCAACACACAAACACTCTGGTGATGATGAATAAAAACCATCAGGCATAAAAAGAAAATCAGAATTGGGGATGTAGTTTAGTGGCAGAGTATTTGCTTAGCAATCATGGAACCCTGCATTCACTGCCAGGAAAAAGCACTGAAAGAGCAGAGCAGGGAAGGAGGAAGAAACCAGAGAAACAGGAGGAACGTGACCAACGCCTTCAGGGCAGAGTGAGTCACTCTGTGGGTGGACAGAGGACAAGGTGTGGGGCAGAGGAGACAAATGTCACAGCTGGGTTTTGGTCTGGGTTAATGGGTTAGAAGTGAGACGTTGATTTTCACCCCTCAGGTATATTTCAGGCTTTTTATCTTTCTGGCAAACATTTCAATTCATACTGAGAACAGTAACTTGACCCACTGCAGGCTGCTGTTCATGAAATCTTCAACAGTTCAGTGCAAACGCTTGAATGGTTTCGTAGCCTCTGTGCAAGATTAGCTAGATAACTCTTGCATAAGAGACCAGTAATGTTTTAAAGCATTCACAAGACACAACGGATACACAGTAGACAAACTACAAAGTCCTCAGTCTTGTGACACTCAAGAAGCAGGGATGACCAGTAGGAGTCAAAAGAAGTCACAGGGAAGGCTAGAGGTGGGGTCAATTATCTGAAACTTGACAAGTCACAGAGCACTCGAAACGTGGCTGCTCTGAGGACACATCCCTGCCACCAAAATGTAGGCTCATGAGATGTTGAAATGCTAAATTGTCTATGTATCTTACCGCAATTAAAAAATCAAGCTGGGCGGTGGTGGCGCACGCCTTTAATCGAAGCACTCGGGAGGCAGAGGCAGGCGGATCTCTGTAAGTTCCAGACCAGCCTGGACTACCAAGCGAGTTCCAGGACAGCCTCCAAAGACACAGAGAAACCCTGTCTCGAAAAATTTTAAAAAAATTTAAAAAAAACCAAATCAGAGCCAGGTGGTGGTGCACACCTATAACTCTAGCACTCAGGAGGCAGAGGCAGGTGAATCTCTGAGAGTTCTGGGACAACCAAGGCTGATACACAAAGAAACTCCGTCTTGAAAAAAAATAAACAAATCTAAAGACTTGTAGGCTAGGGGCTGGAGAGATGACTCAGTGGTTAAGAGCACTGACTGCTCTTCCAAAGAACCCAGGTTCAATTCCCAGCACCCACACGGCAGCTCACAGCGGCCTGTAATTCTAGTTCCAGGGAACCTGACACACATGCATGCCAAAACACCAATGCACAGAAAATAAAGAAAAATAGATTTAAAAAACAAGACTTGTAGGCTAGATGGGGGATGCGGTTCAGGAGGAGCAGTGCTTGTCTGCCAGGCGCCAAGCCCTGGGCCCCTGCCTCAGCTGGTTAATCCCAGACACTGTTTACATAAAAAAAATGTGTTCTTTATAATTCTATCCTTTTCTTGTATTTCACCATTTGATGTAGTGCTTTTAGAACAAGGCTTCAATAAGGTGGCATGGCTACTGTGGAAACTGAGACGGGAAGATTCCTTGCTCCACGAACTCCAGGCTAGCCTGAAGCACACGGAGAGCCTGTTTCTAAAACTAAGCAACACCGAGGGTGGGTGTGCCTCTGCCCAGAGCCACGTGTGCCTGCGGGTAAGCTCTCCTGAGCGTCAGGTGGTGCCCGGAAGAATGGAGCCTCCAAAGCAATCCTGCACTCTCTAACAGAGTCCGTTCAAACACCCCGCTGAGGGAAGCCCTGCAGCCCTGCTTCTCTCTGAGGAGCAGCAGTCTGGACACACACAGAGTGTCACTGTTGGTGATGGAGTGGAGAAAGCAGCCCACCTCAGGACTGGGACCACTCCACCCCCATCACTGGTACTTCCGTCATGTCAGAGCCGCTAATGGAAGACAAAGCAGAACTGGAAGCTTTGTTGGTGGATCATTTTGTGTCTCAGCTCCCACCGAAAAAGGCTTTCAAAGGACACTACCATGTTATCATCTTCAAAGCCTGACAAGGATTGGATCTCCCAAGTGCTAGGATTCCAGACACAAGTCACCATTCTTGGCTGGGAGCCCCTTCTTAATATGTAGAGTTTACATAGTTATTTTTAATTTAATGTTTAAATTTACAATTTTTCCTTTTCTTATTTTCTAAATTTAATCTATTTAAGACAAGGTCTCACTTTGTAGCCCAGACTATTCTGAAACTGGCTATGTAGTCTTGTCTGGCCTTGAACTCACAGAAATCCCTCTGCCTCTGCCTCCCAAGTGCTGAAATTAAAATCACCACTCTCAGCTGTTACTTTTATTTTATGTGTGTGTAACACCAATAAATAAAGACCCAGAGAATGATATTGGGGTTCAAGCTTCAAGCTGAATATCAG